TGCATTGTTCTTTTCCTTAAATTTCCCGCTTTCTACGAGAATACGATTTTCATGGAATGCGAAAATTGGTTACGTTCGTACATCAGTAGGTACCTATACGTTTTCAAATCAAAAATTTACAAACTATGACACTCTTCTTTTTTTGAAAAGTTGCCATGTATGGACGCTGTAAATATTTTACGATTTCACTGTCAGCGTAATTTATCTTTTTTTCCGAGTTTCCAGGTTTCACTTGAAGCAAGCGCGTCTGTCCTATTTTGTGATATAATTCTGGTCCTAAATCAATCTTTATCCGCTCAAAGACCGATCGGTCACTTAATGTTCACAAAATGTCCTTAAGGGAGGCGATTCCTTTTTGTTTTCTTTGATAAAGAAATTTTATATGCAGACCGTCGAAAGAACAACAATATCTAACGCAAGTTGAACCCTTGTCTGAAAGAGAGATCGCTTTTCGTACGTACATGTATTTGTACGTATAAAAAGGCAATTTTAAAAACATCCACTCGCCTTGATAATGTCCATGAAATGTATGTGTTACATTTATAAAAAGTAGAGTAAATCCTTACTTTCAAATGATTTATTTAACATCCTGTTCTAATAGTAGCTTATTTTGGCATTTATTGACCTTTTATTGTGCTTTCGTTATGTTGTGTATAATTTGAATATCTATTTTTTCTTTTCCATATGAATTGATATGTTCAGTGTTTCGTTCTCTAATTCACTTGGGTGTTTGTCCAAAATCCACTATCTTATATGTACTTGGTGCATATTACCTTGTATGTAGATATATATATATCATCATCATAAGGTCGTCAGTCCTAAAACTAGTTGGACACACACCTCCACTCTTTTCTATCCCGAGCTAATCTTTCAATTTCCCTAAAACTAGAACAACCCATTTCCCTAACTGTTTGCGAACAGTAATATAATCTAGGTCTACCTCTACCCCTCCTAACTTCCGTTTCTGCTTCTAATATGTCTCTGAGTAGACCTTCATGCCTTAGAAGGTGTCGTACCAACCTATCTCGTATATTTCTTATTGACTTCCATAGAGTCCTCTGTTCTCTTACTCCTTCTAATACCTCTTCATTTCTAACCTTCTCTATCCACGGTATCCTCATCATTCGCCTGTAACACCACATTTCGAACGCTTCTAGCCTTTTCTTTTCCGCCGCGCTCACTTTCCATGATTCGCACCTGTACAGTGCCGTGCTCCAAACATACACCTTTATTAATCTTTTTCGAATTTCTAAATTAACCGTTTGCGAGCATAAAAGTGACTTCTTTTTATTGAAGGAGACTCGGCCCTGCGCTGTCCTCTGCTTTATATCCCTACTACTGCTTCCGTACTGATTTATCTGACTTCCTAGATATCTAAAATCAGCCACTTCTTCTAATTTTTCGTCTCCTATCTTTAAATTCGCTCTTTCCCTACTTTTTCTTCCTTTACATGCCAGTATTTTAGTTTTACTTTTATTTATTTTCATACAGTACTGTTTTGTCAATACCGCTTCCATTTTATTTAAAGCTATCCCTAAGTCCTCCTTGCCAGATGCTAATACTGCTATATCATCTGCAAATCTAAGCATAGTAATCTTTTGCCCCTGTATATTTATCCCTACAGTTGTATTGTCTTTAATGATGTTGATTGCGTCTTCGATGTATAGATTAAAAAGTAGCGGTGACACTGTGCATCCTTGTCCGACTTCCTTCTTAATATTTACTTCTATATGCCGGAATTATCAAGAGGATCAATTGTACTTTATACAGAAGAAACAAAAACGCAAAAAACTAATCCTATAGCCTAACACCAGCCTCAAGATGCAGAGAAGCGAAGCAGTTGTCGTAAAATCACAACGAAATTCGTATAATAGAAAATAGAAACACCAATTCAACATTATCAAATTTTAGCAACGACAAATTTCGTCAAACTGCCCACATATCTTAAAACGAGTTAATTATTTCGTCAAGAAGTTTGAACATTGGTAAAGCTTCAAGCAAATTATTCATGTACTAAATTCAAATTTGTAATTCGTACTTAATTTTTGTTAGATTGCATAATCCTTGTTAGGTGTAGTGACGCAGTTGTATCTCAGGTAGGTACACGTATGTATATGTATAAATTCGTAGGCCTTTATTAAGCTCCATGTCAAATTAAATTAGTACTTATTACAAACATATATTACAAATAGTTGCCTCTGTTCTTGCGGCAAAGCATATTTTGATGTTAACTCTCCGCGTTCAACGGAGTTTAATTTTATCGAACAAGTTTGCTAATAAGGAACGCACTGTTCCAATGTCGCTGTTCAGTGTAGTTGTTGTTATATGTTGGTACAGAACGGCAAAGTTATTAATTAATTCGAACAATAACAAATCAAGTACTTGAGACTTAATCTCGCATTGAGGGTCTGATTTATGTCGAAATGGGAATTCGCAGAGATCATTTCTGCGTATAGATACGCACAACTCGAAAAGGGTTGTTGGATAAAGGAAATACAGAAACAATATCTTGTATTTCGCCAAGTGGGAATAAAGTGCCACTTATATAATATCGAAATATCGTATAACGCGCCTTTTGTATACGTATGTATACCACGACGAAAAGTAAACAANGTATCAGCCCCACAGATATCTAACTCAACAGATTTCGTTCCCATGCCCATTAGACAGAATTATTAGAATTTGGCAGTTAAATCTTTAAAATCCTATTAGTTACAATACCTGCAATTTTAACTAAGAGAAATTGAAAATTTTCAAGTTCAGAAACAGGGGTAAGTATCAGCCCCACAGATATCTAACTCAACAGATTTCGTTCCCATGCCCATTAGACAGAATTATTAGAATTTGGCAGTTAAATCTTTAAAATCCTATTAGTTACAATACCTGCAATTTTAACTAAGAGAAATTGAAAATTTTCAAGTTCAGAAACAGGGGTAAGTATCAGCCCCACAGATATCTAACTCAACAGATTTCGTTCCCATGCCCATTAGACAGAATTATTAGAATTTGGCAGTTAAATCTTTAAAATCCTATTAGTTACAATACCTGCAATTTTAACTAAGAGAAATTGAAAATTTTCAAGTTCAGAAACAGGGGTAAGTATCAGCCCCACAGATATCTAACTCAACAGATTTCGTTCCCATGCCCATTAGACAGAATTATTAGAATTTGGCAGTTAAATCTTTAAAATCCTATTAGTTACAATACCTGCAATTTTAACTAAGAGAAATTGAAAATTTTCAAGTTCAGAAACAGGGGTAAGTATCAGCCCCACAGATATCTAACTCAACAGATTTCGTTCCCATGCCCATTAGACAGAATTATTAGAATTTGGCAGTTAAATCTTTAAAATCCTATTAGTTACAATACCTGCAATTTTAACTAAGAGAAATTGAAAATTTTCAAGTTCAGAAACAGGGGTAAGTATCAGCCCCACAGATATCTAACTCAACAGATTTCGTTCCCATGCCCATTAGACAGAATTATTAGAATTTGGCAGTTAAATCTTTAAAATCCTATTAGTTACAATACCTGCAATTTTAACTAAGAGAAATTGAAAATTTTCAAGTTCAGAAACAGGGGTAAGTATCAGCCCCACAGATATCTAACTCAACAGATTTCGTTCCCATGCCCATTAGACAGAATTATTAGAATTTGGCAGTTAAATCTTTAAAATCCTATTAGTTACAATACCTGCAATTTTAACTAAGAGAAATTGAAAATTTTCAAGTTCAGAAACAGGGGTAAGTATCAGCCCCACAGATATCTAACTCAACAGATTTCGTTCCCATGCCCATTAGACAGAATTATTAGAATTTGGCAGTTAAATCTTTAAAATCCTATTAGTTACAATACCTGCAATTTTAACTAAGAGAAATTGAAAATTTTCAAGTTCAGAAACAGGGGTAAGTATCAGCCCCACAGATATCTAACTCAACAGATTTCGTTCCCATGCCCATTAGACAGAATTATTAGAATTTGGCAGTTAAATCTTTAAAATCCTATTAGTTACAATACCTGCAATTTTAACTAAGAGAAATTGAAAATTTTCAAGTTCAGAAACAGGGGTAAGTATCAGCCCCACAGATATCTAACTCAACAGATTTCGTTCCCATGCCCATTAGACAGAATTATTAGAATTTGGCAGTTAAATCTTTAAAATCCTATTAGTTACAATACCTGCAATTTTAACTAAGAGAAATTGAAAATTTTCAAGTTCAGAAACAGGGGTAAGTATCAGCCCCACAGATATCTAACTCAACAGATTTCGTTCCCATGCCCATTAGACAGAATTATTAGAATTTGGCAGTTAAATCTTTAAAATCCTATTAGTTACAATACCTGCAATTTTAACTAAGAGAAATTGAAAATTTTCAAGTTCAGAAACAGGGGTAAGTATCAGCCCCACAGATATCTAACTCAACAGATTTCGTTCCCATGCCCATTAGACAGAATTATTAGAATTTGGCAGTTAAATCTTTAAAATCCTATTAGTTACAATACCTGCAATTTTAACTAAGAGAAATTGAAAATTTTCAAGTTCAGAAACAGGGGTAAGTATCAGCCCCACAGATATCTAACTCAACAGATTTCGTTCCCATGCCCATTAGACAGAATTATTAGAATTTGGCAGTTAAATCTTTAAAATCCTATTAGTTACAATACCTGCAATTTTAACTAAGAGAAATTGAAAATTTTCAAGTTCAGAAACAGGGGTAAGTATCAGCCCCACAGATATCTAACTCAACAGATTTCGTTCCCATGCCCATTAGACAGAATTATTAGAATTTGGCAGTTAAATCTTTAAAATCCTATTAGTTACAATACCTGCAATTTTAACTAAGAGAAATTGAAAATTTTCAAGTTCAGAAACAGGGGTAAGTATCAGCCCCACAGATATCTAACTCAACAGATTTCGTTCCCATGCCCATTAGACAGAATTATTAGAGGTCTTCTTGTTGTTTTTTCCGTTTGTCTTATAATTGCATTTTTTTTTTCAGAAAGAAGCATCTACTTGAAGTCACATGCCGCACGGAGGAAGAAATTTGGAAACACCTTCATTATTAGGTAAATATTATATGTAGGTACTTCATAACTTTAGGTAAATAATACTTTCGCTTGTTTCGTTTACAGTTTCCATTTTACGTCTCATTTAAACATAAAAACCACAATTGAAAATTTAGTAGCTACTGATAAGAGAAAAGTTTGTATCATTGTTCAATTGACACATTTCCAACATGAATGTAGAAACAATAAATGAATATTTTATGAAACATTCTTTCCTCTTTGGGCAGCAGTTTAATAACTAGGTACGAATTTTAGAAATATGTTTACTACAATATTTACTTAGATTACTTATTTATTATTCGAAAAGTAAATTTTATTTGAAAATTCTGTGATTTAGATAGGTTTTTCACAATTCCGTATTATCATTCTCGTTGAAATGTTAAAATAACGTTCTGGATATCGAAGGAACGCGCACCATCATATACCTTTCTGAAGATTTCTTTGCAGAAGGAGTAAAATAATTAAGTTCTTTGAAATATGCAAAAACACCCCTGGGTTAATTTGTTTCTAACGTCTAATGAAGCTTCTCATCCTTTGACGTTAGCGGAATCCTTTTTCGTTATTAAAGCAGCTTAATTAACCGTCATTTCACTCCATTCCATCTTTCAGGTGCGTGTCCCTTTTTTTATCTTCTCTTCACTTTTATCAATGCTATTTTTATTTTCAATTAAATGCAGTTTCTCATTACTAACAATGAAGTAAGAGTAAAAAACGCGAAACCTTCTCAACGATAAATAAATAGCCTTAAAAAGGATAATTTATTTATTGGTTGGTAATAATTAAAATAAGAGCAGTATCTCTGTTCCGGGTAAGTCGTAAAATATTGTATCTCAAAAGGAATATTTCTATTTTACAGAAACATCCAAGTATGCAGCAACAGGAGAAATCAAGGAAACAGAAGAACAATCAAGAATCAAATACAAAACACATATATTTTCATATAATAGGTACAATTCAAAAGTGTAAATATAAATCGGTACACAGAATTTATAATAAATAATTAGTCTTCCTGCATTTTATTTACCTAACAAATTAGAAGTAAAAAAATTTACTAATATAGTATATTGGTTACTACTAGTGGCACTATCTATGAAGATATTGTTGAACTATTAGAAATCAATAAACTACATTAGTATAGTTTTCTTTGTACTTATTAATAATAATATATTATTTAGTTACAAAAAATTATAATAGATGGCGCGGTTGTTAGCGCTTGCTAGACAATGAAAATCCACATATTTAAGAGTCTA